CCGAGCGAGCGCTGGTAGAGGACGGATTTCGCGCGCGAAGGCGCCTTTACGAGGCGCGCTTGGAAGCCGCGCACGCACTCGATCATGAGCGCATCGGTGCTCTGGTCGTGCAGGAGGAGGTAGGACACGAGCTCGCGGTACTTGGTGCTCTGGAGCGACGAGAGCGGGAGGCCGTGCACGGTATCGGTCTCGGCATCGTAGGCGTGGAAATAGTTCCGCAGGAACGAGAGCCACTGGAAGACGACGTCGACCTCCTTGCCGGACAGCTGCTGCATGTCGGTCGGCGCGTCCGACAGCGGCGGCACAAGGAGGCCCTCGAGCGTGACGAGCACCTCTTTCCACACGCGCGAGAGCACGAGCTGCGCCTGCGATGCGCTCAGGCTGCTGTGCAGCGTGCCGAGCGTCTCGTCGAGGTAGTCAAAGAGCGGCGCAATGGCCTCCTCCATGTCGTGGTCCGTGAGCGGCGCCCGTGCGCCCGCGTGCAGCGCGCGCAGCGCACGATCGACGCGGCGGCCACGCACGAGCGCCGCGAGCACCGGCCGCGACAGGACGTGCCGCATGTACAGCGAGATGTGATCGACGAGCACACGCGTCATGTCCGCCTCCGTGCGCTTGACCGTGCGGAAGGCGCGCCCAAACGTGTACAGAATGCCATCGTGCGCTTCGTCCATGCTCACACGCAGCAGCAGCTTGCCGCCCGCACGGTCGAGATCGAGCCACACGTCGTGCGTCGGCACGTCGCCAAACACGCGCGGATCGAGGTAGACGCTCGCGCGGCCGAGCAAGTGCGGCTCGCCGTGCAGGGAGCGGCGCCATACCGTTGCCGAGATCCACTGCGCCGTCGGGCAGACTATGTCGACCACCTCGTCCCAGCGCGGCACGCGCGTGTCGTAGAGCGTGCGTGTCTTGCCGAGTCGCGTGCCGCGCGCATCACTGAGCGTCACGAGCGTATCGAGCCGCGGCACGTCGAGCTGCGGCAGCTCGGCCTGCACGATCTTGACAGAGAACACCATCGAGCGCGGGAGCTCGGCCGTCGTCCCACGCAGGCGCTCCGCCTGCGTATCTGCCTCCATGCGGCGATACAGCGTATCGAGCAGCTGCCGCGCCGCCTCCATATTGTTGAGGATGACACAGGAATGCGGCTGCAGGACAAACGGACGCACAGCGCTCCGCAGCTGCTGCTCAGACGGCAGCACGGCCTGCTTCGCGCGCACCACCCACAGGGGGGCGTCAGAGGACGCCTCCGGCAACGACGGCGGACGCATATCGAGCATGTACCGATCGGCCATCAGGTGGCAGTACAGGGCCATGTGCCGCTCGTAGCTGCCGGCTAGGAGCGAGAGCAGCGCGGCCAGGTCCGTCTCGTCCGCCCACGCAAGGGACTCGAGAAAGACGAGCGGCTGCTGCAGCGCGTCCAGCATGTCTTGGACCGAGGTGCTGTGCGTCGTCGTATCCGACACGCTCAGCGCGTCGTGCTGCACCGCCGATCGGATCCACTCGGCGGTGCGCGCCTCGCTCAGCTCCAGCCACAGCACGACACACGGCCGGAAGTACGCACACGCATCGAACGCGCCGTCACACTCCCGCTGCCACGCACGCACGCGCTGGCACAGAGCAAGGGCCTCGTTGACGCGCTCGAGATCGCGAGACTGCTGCACTTGGAGCGTCACTGCCTCTTTGACCGACGCCAGGTCAGCTAGGAACAGCGGCACACACACCTTCGCTAGCTCGTCGCTCGTAGCCAGGCCAGGGAGCGGGCGCGGCTGGCGGCGGTGCGTCTCGATCAGCCGCTCGAGCCAGTCGAGCAGCTCGGCAAAGCCACGCACAATGTTGGTCTGGACACGAAAGACGCCCTCGGCCTTGGCAGCGTACGCCTGCGTCGCTGCCTGGCCAAGCGCACGGCGGAGAGGCGCCACATGCGGTGCGACGACATGCGTGTCGCCGGCCAGCTGCGAAAGTCGGTCGAGCAGCGAGACGACCGCCTCGGACGGCGTCTCGAGACGCGCGACGTCCGCATGCACGCTGCGAGCGAGCGAGTCGGCGAGCAGGCCGAGCTGCTGGGTAAGCCGTGCCTGGTCGGCACGCCGCCACAGCGCCGGAGGGACCTGCTGCATGTGCACGCTCAGGCTCTCGAGCGACGCAGCGACGCACTCGAGCGGGACATGCCCCGCATCGTACTTGTTGCGGCACAGGCGGAGATGAGCCATGCGTGTCAACGCCGTCGAGACGCGCCATCGCGTCGCACAGAGGCGCAGCAGGTCTTCGTGCACGGGCGCGAGGATCGAGAGTGGCACGTCGTCGTGCGCGTCCTTGAGCTGAATAGCATCGAGATCGTGCTCCATGCATATGTCAAGGAGGCGCTCGTACGCCGCACAGGGATCGGGCGGAATGTAGGTGAAGGCGTCGTCGACGTCGTCCTGCATATCGAGCGACCGGCGCGACGAGCTGTCGCTCGTGACGGACGCCTTCATGAGGTCAGGACGCACCGCACATATATCGGCCACGAGCTTAGACAGCTGCATGAGCTCGCTGGAGCGCCATTGGAGGTACGCGTCCGGCGTGCTAAAATCGTCCGGACATCCCGGCCAGGCCCGCTGGGCGTGGATGTGGTAGATGCAGCGCTTGACGTCAATCACAGCTTCCGACAACGTGCATGTCTGGCTGAGCGTCTGCACATCCAGACGCACCTGTGCATCGCTGAAGTGGAAGAGACGCGCCGTCGCAGCCACGAGCGGCGAGGTGGCGCCGTCGTCGGCCGCGTCGGCGCGGCGGCGCTCTGCCGACGACCGCGGCCTTTCCGCGTCACGCGCCATGTACCGACTCACATAGTCCATCAGATCGCGCGATACGCCAGGGATCGTGCGAAGGACATCGTGCACGACTCGCACGAACAGATCCGTCTCGACGTCCAGCTCCGCCTGCACGGCCGCCTCGGTCGGCAGGCGCTTACGGAGCTGCGTCTGAGCAAACATCGTAAACTCGAGCAGGAGCGTCTCGATGCGCGACTCACGCAGGCGCTTGACCGTGGCATCATCCTGCAGCATCCCGTAAAAGGCGCCCATCGTCTGCCGAAACGACGGCTGCTGGTACAGCGGATCGCGGCCCATCGCAATCTGCCCAAGCTGGTCGCTGAGCTTGCGCACCAGCTTATCTGGCACGCGCCATGCCTGCCCGCTGCTCGTCGCGTGCAGCCGCAGATCCCTCAGCTTGTCAGACAGCGCCGATCTCTCTGACCGCTCCGACGAGGGCCGCGAAGGCGCGATCAGCTCCGGCCGCGGCGGCGCATGCCGCAGGAGATCATCGAGATACACAGTCTGCAGCGTGAACACGTACACATCGCCATCCGTGAGTGCCTTGCGCGCGTACGTGGACGAGGCCCCCGATGGCGGCATGGCACCTACGCGTGGCAAACACCCTCCACGAGGGATGAGGCAGGTGGTGGTGGTGGATGCTGAGTCAGCGCCTGACACGTCTCGGGGCAGGGGCGACCCGTTTTTTTTCCCGTGACCGTCATGTCGGAAGCAGATGATCTGTATGCGGATTTGTATGGCGAAGAGGCCGAGCCATCGGTGAGTGCGGCCCCCGCGCCTAAGCCAGAGGCAGCTGCTCCGGCAGCAGCGACTCCAGCACCATCGACATCCGGACCTGCTGCGACGCCAGCAGCGGCGGGTGCCGTGCCCGAGACGAGCAGTGCGCCGTCGTTTATTCCTGGGCGTCCGGCGCCTCCGCCGCTGGATTCGGCAGAGGCACGTAGTGCGGCAGCGGCGCGGGGTGAGCACATTGCGCCCCAGGATCTGCCAGACGAAGGGTGAGTATGACGTGGTGGCGTCCAGACAGTGGCAGAGTCAGCATAGCGATACAGCAGTAGAGCCAGCTAGCCAGTGCCGGGTAGGAATGATCCGTGGTAGCTCACACATGCGTTTGGATGCCCCATGAGTGTGGAATGGTAGCTGACACGTCGACAGAAAAATGTTTGTGGGCGGACTCAACTGGGACACCGACGAGGAGAGTCTGCGCCGCTACTTTGGACAGTTTGGTCCCGTGGCGTCGTGTACGGTTATGCGCGATGGCGCTTCGGGCCGCTCGCGTGGCTTTGCGTTCGTAACTTTTTCAGATCCCAAGTCGGTCAATGCCGTCATGGTGCGTGAGCACTTCTTGGACGGCAAGATCATCGATCCCAAGCGCGCGATTCCGCGCCCCGAGCAGTCCAAAACCCAAAAGTGCTTTGTGGGTGGACTGCCCCAGACCGTTACGCAGGACTCGTTCAAGCAGCTCTTCCAGCAGTTTGGTCACGTCTTAGACAGCACAGTGATGATGGACAAAGACACGGGTCGCCCGCGTGGCTTTGGCTTTGTAACATTCGAGAACGACGATGGCGTAGAAAATACGCTTGCTCACCAGCCCCTGCTTCTGGATGGCAAGCAGATCGAGGTCAAGCGCGCACAGTCGCGGGGTCAGCCACAGCCCAACGCCGCACCCAACCGCTTCTCGTCAGATCCTGCGCGCGGTAGCAATGCCCAAGCTCCGCTGCGTATGTGGGGCGCCGGCGGCGGCAGTGCGAATGGCGGCGATAAGGTACCTACCCAGATGCCCGGCTTTGGCGCAGGCGGCTTTGATCCTCAGGCTATGGCCAAGATGTATCAGCAGATGGGCTGGGGCAGCTCGGCGTGGAATCCCCAGCTCATGTGGCAGCAGATGATGGCCGCGTATATGAGCAGCGCCGCCACAGGCGGCATGCCCGGTGCGCCTCCAGGCGGTCGTGCACAGGGCGCCGGCCGTACTGGGCAGGATGCGGGTTGGGGTAGTCGCGGCGACGATGCTCGTGGCCGTGGCGCCGCGGGTGGACCTGCACATCAGCGTGAGCGCTCGCCCACGCGTGGATCGCGTAGCTATGATGAACGTAGTCGATTCTAACTTGCCTCTATGGTAGCCACCGCTACAAACTGGCGACGTGGAGAGATGTACTGGGCGAAAAAAAATTAGCGGAGGAAAATAAGAGTTGGACGAGTCGGGATTTGAACCCGGGACCTTCTGCTGAATCGAGAGGGTTCGTTCAGTCCGCAAAGGTGCGAAGCAGACGTCATACCACTAGACCACACGCCCCACAACTATTCGTAGGCACCTCATCCTTTGCATCATCAGTGTGTGAGAAGCAGGAAGCCCTTCGTCCTGCTTTTCCCTTAGGCCGTCTAGTTCGGAGCGGCATTCCGTTCGCTGCACCGGTCGGCACAGGGCAGGGCGCGAGCACTCGAGCTTGAGGGGGCGGCGGCTGTGCACACGTGATGACATGTCCATGGCAAGAAATGGCCCAATTATGATACACGTGCTACATATCTACATAGCCACCCAAAGCACCGCCAGCGGCGCGGTCGGCGTCATAGTCGCCGCCGGCCATGGGCGCACCTGGCTCGTACGACGGCCAGAGTTGTGTGCCATAGCTACCACTGTCTGTGCCAAGACGCACCTCCTTCGCCCAGTTTTGCTTGAGCGAGCCAATATGAACGATGAGTTTTGTGCAGGCCTGCTGCAGCACCTCGACGGGCGTCTGGCTACCGTCCGTCTGAATCTTGACGAGAACACGCGGCTCAAGGGGATGAGGTACTTTGTAGCCACAGAAGAGCACGCCCGGCATGGACAGAACAGCATGGCGCAGCATGTTGCCCAGGGTGTGATCTTCCTTATTAAACACAAAGGTGGCCGCATTAGGGATGCGCATGTCCTCCTGGACCTCGATGCGCTGCTCCCCCGGTTGGAGGAGGAACAGGGTATATCTATCGGGCGCGTTCGCCATGCTGACGCTGTCATGTTAGTCGCGGCTGCGCTGGCGCAAGCGTCGGCTGGCATCCGTCATATACCGTTGTAGTTTTTTGAGAAATCACGAGTCACGGCCTTGCCAGGCTCAGACAGTGTGAATAGATGTAATCATAGGATGCCAGCCGACGGGGCACACGTACCTCGTCGTCGCAGGACGAAAAAGGCCCCGGGGGTTTTTCGCGCTCTGCCACGCGGCCTCTCGCACGTGACTACACAGGGTCTACGACGCCGGCCTGGCTCGCTTGGCGCGAGGCATGTCGGAGCCGTCGGAGCGTATGGGGCCGAGTGTGCCTCGCGCGGATATGGTCGCGAATGCGGTCTCGTTTCTGGAGGATCCCAATGTGCAGAGCTCCTCGATGTCACAGCGGATCAGTTTCCTCGAGTCCAAGGGGCTGACGTCGCAGGAGATCGACCTGGCGCTGAGCCAGGTGGGCCGTACCCACCCGCCGCTGCCGCCGTCTGCACCGTACCCGATGATGCCTGCATACCCACCTGCGCGTCCGCAGCGCGATTGGCGCGACTGGTTCATTATGGCCGTCGTGTCGGGCACGGTTGGCTACGGTGTCGTGTCCCTCGCACGAAGATACCTGTACCCGCACCTGCAGCCGCCGAACAAGACGGTGCTGGAGGAGGAGCGCGAGGCGCTTGAGGCCAAGTATGACGAGGTCGCGCTGCATCTGGAGGAGCTGGATCAGACGACGGAGGCGATGAGCCGGGGCCTCGCAGCGCAGGAGTCGGCGATCCAGGAGAGCGTACGTGGCGTCAACGACCTCGTGGCCGAGTCGCGGTCGCGGGAGGAGCAGCGCGATAAGGATCTGGAGCAGATGAAGTCGGAGATCGAGTCGATGCGTGAGGAGTTTGCGTCCATGCTGGACCGCTCGCGCACGTCGTCTATTACGGCGCTCACGGATCTGCAGGGCGAGCTCAAGTCGCTCCGCTCGCTGCTCGTGTCACGGGGCGGCCTCAGCACACCCGGCGCATCTGCGCCGGCGGAGTCGTCCGCCGCGCCGCCGGCCAAGGCAGCGCCGCAGATTCCTGCGTGGCAGCTCGAGTCGCACGATGAATAGAGTACATAGCTACGGTCCAGGGCGGATGACGCGGCCCAGCATGTCCATGGCGCCCATGGCGACCTGCTCGAGATCGCGGCGTTCCTGCGGCACGGCGAGCTGCACGGGCCCGAGTCGGAGATGCGGCATACTGTGCGCCATCGACGGCGGCGGCTGCGTCACGGAGGGGGGCAGGTGCTGGGCGGTGTGCTGCATCATGTGCAGGAACGACTGGGAGCGGTGGATGGTGGTGCCGCCGAGCAAAAAGTGGGTGCCTGGCACATGCAGGAGGGCCATCATGCGCGCCTCTTCGTACGTGGTGCCGCCAATGACGAATACGATCACGTCCTGCGGCCGAGTGGGCGGTCCGCCGGGGTACACGGTCGCTGGGGCGTCGGGGGCGTCTCTGCCGGCGAACGGGTAGCTGGAGGTGCGCAGCTTGCCGCGCATGAGGTGGTCGAGGGTCTTGACGAGGTGCGGCGTGTGCTGTGTGTACACATTGTCGACGCCCTTGAGGCCTTTGAGGGCGCTCTTGCCGCGGGCGAGGATGTTTTCGTTCGCGAACAAATCGTCCTGGCGCTGCTCGGCGCCGCACAGGTTGAGCATGACGTACACGAGTGCGACATCCTGGACGCCTGCGTCGATGAGCTGCTGGACGACGGCGTCGATACGGTTGCCGGACCACTTTTGGTACCGCAGCGCGTACAGCATAGCGAGGCGGAGCTTGGCGTCGGGGCGGATGCGTTCTGAGCCGATGAGCGTCTGCACGTTGCGCAGGTCTGTGGTGTGGTTCTCGTTGCTCGCGAGGCTCTGTTCGAGCTCGCTGACTTCGAGGAGGTGGTGGGTGTCGACGAGCTGGCTGAGCTCGCCGAGGAGGGCGACATGTTTGCTGACATTGCCACGCAGGCGCTGAAACTCGGGGTATTGCTCGATAAAGCGCTTCATGTCCTGCACCGTCTCGATGCTCGAGTTGGACGCCGACTGCGCCTGGAACTGGACGACGTAGTCCTTGATCGAGGCGCCGAGATCGCCCAAGTTGTCGTACAGGTTCGCGGCGAAGAATGGATCGTGGTCGACGGAGAGCACGATCTCCTGGGGGCCGTGCTCGGTGTGCATGACGGTGCGCCCGTTGTGGATGCCGAGGAGCTCATGCACCATCGCCTGGTACGTCCACTGCGTCAGGAGAGGCGTGACGGGATCGTTGCGGCGGTCGAGCACGAGGAGGAGCGGCGGCACGTCCGTGCGGCGGAAGTCGAAGAGCGACGCGTGTGAGTCGTTCATGCGCGCGACGAGCTCGTCGGCGAGCTTGCGGGCGAGCGCGCTCATGCGTTCGTAGCGCACGACGGGTTTCTTTTTGAGACTGAGGAGGAGGGAGAGCAGCGCACTGGTGTGGTGCTCGAATGCGTCGGGATCCCACTGCACGAGGTGGGAGCCCCACAGGCGGTGGGGCGGCACGTCGTACTGCAGCGTGAAGTGCGACGCAGTCACGGGCACGTAGTCGGAAAAGAACTCCTGGACGGCCTGGACGAGCTGGTGCTGGTCGGCTTCGGCCAGGGCCTCCATGTCCTGCTTCGCGACGACGTTGCTGAAGTAGAGCCAGTAGGCGCCGTATTTGGGCGAGAGCAGCTCCTGGCACAGCGCATGTATCGAGGCCGGGCACGGGCGCACGTACACGAGGCACTGCAGGTGGTGCATCCGCTCGCGTGGGCGGTGGCCGATTTTGTCGGTCAGGTACACCTCGTGCTCGAGGAGGGCGGACTGCGTGAACGTCGCAGACATGGTGGGCGTCGTGTGGTCGTCGAGGAGCAGCATCTTCATGCCGCGCACCTCCTTGACCATGCGCTCGACGTACGCCGAGACGGCCTGGCACACATCCATCGAGGGGGAGAGAGCAATAGTACAGCTATCATGTGGAGGGTCGGCTAGACCGGCATGCTACACTCGAACGGTCCGCCGACCTTGCCGGCGTTGTATAGGTCGCGGATGCTGACGGCGACGGCCCACGTGCCGGCGATGAGGAAGAAGCCTGCGATGCCGATGATCGCGAGGGCGACGACGAGGCCGAGCCTGTTTTGCCACGTGCGGTGGTAGTCGTGCTGGTGGCGCCAGATGTAGAACCAGCAGGCCATGAAGAGGAAGGTGCTCCAGAACACGGAGGACATGATACCGAGGAAGGAGTTGAAGAAGGGAATGAGCTCGGCGAGCACGTAGGCGGCTACCCAGGACAGGAAGTTGATCGTGATCCACACGGACCACAAGATCCACTTGTTGTCGAGGTACCGCCGCCGCGACTTGCTGAAGAAGTTGAGCAGGAACATTTTGCCCGTCACTTGGGCGCTGCAGCAGCCAGCCACGAGGATGGTGGGCAGACTCAGGCCGTAGGAGACCTTGACCATAATGGGTGATAGACTGCCGAGGGACGGCGAGATGGTATACTGTCCCAGGTTGTAGTTCATGATGCAGCCGACGATGATGTAGAGCACGATGGAGATGCTGACGAGCATGTTCAGACTCGTGAGGAACTGGCGTGGGTGGTGCATTTCGGCGATGATCGGCAGGTACGATGTGGTCGCGCCGAAGCTCACAAACACATTGCTGGTGTACAGCATGCCGTCCAAGAACGAGTGGGGGACCTGCTTCGTCGCGCCGAACGCGAGAATCTCGCGGGGTGGATCGGATGGGTCCTTGTTGACGGGGCCCGTCACGCCACTGGCAATCATGGCGATGATGATGACGGTGATGATCGACGTGAACGACGTGGCCGCAAACACCGAAAAGAGCTTGTACGAGCGCGGCAGCGTGAAGAGCCACGAGATGACGGCGAACACGGCGGCCATGCCGACCATGCAGCCGTGCCAGCCGAGGTAGTAGAAGGCGTAGCCGCCCAGCAGGGCATGGCTGCCCTGCACAAAGATGCCAAACACGGCCTGGATCGCGGCAAACGCCACGGCGCACGAGGGGCCGTACATGAGCTCGCCGACCTGCTGGAGGTTGTGGATGCCGGGGTACATCATCGCGACGCGCCAGTACTGGTAGCCCGTGTACCACGAGAGGAAGCCGAAGAACAGGCACTGGAGAATGAACGGGACGATGCCGATCGTGGCGACAGCCATGGGTATGCTCAGCACGCCGAGGGCGAACGAGAAGGCGATCATATTGAAAAAGGCGCCGAAGCGACCGAGCGTGCGTGGGAGCGCCTTGGGCTCCTCGCCGTTGTAGGGGCCGTTGATCTGCTCGATGAGG